TATCTAGTTAGCATGATAACAAAGTGATTTACATTTGAAAGGCAGCAAGGTTTGTATCATAACAAGGTCATCCCTAGCCTCACTCCCGTTCAAAGGCTTGGCAACCAAGCACACAACTGTAAAATGGACTATTTACCACTTCAACTTTGTTGATATATTCAAATTGTATCGGGTTAATTGCAAAGATACGCCATTTTGTACCCCGACTTGTACTACTGAACATCTACAAGTCATTAATTCACTCTTATTTAACTTATGGTCCTGCTGCCTGGGGTCAAGCATGCAAGACTTATCTTAACAAAATACTAATTCTTCAGAAAAGAGTGCTTCGTTTATTATACTTTGCCGAATGGCATGACCATGCAATTCCTCTTTTTTTTTCGAAGCTAACGTGCTTCCAATAACTTTTCTTTACTATGAGTCCGTATCAACCTTAATGCACGATATCAATAATGGTAAAGCCCCAAGAAACATGTTAAATTCATTTCAGAAAGCGTCTAATATCCACGCATACAATACACGATCTTCTACGTCTGGCAAGTTTTATGTTAAATATTCTAGACTTGAAATACAAAACAATTCTCTCTCTCGGCTCGGAGTTAAACTGTGGAATGGGATACCAAGCTACATAACCAATCTCCCAAAGAAAGCTTTCAATAAAGATCTCCGCAAATTGTTACTTGATATATTAGTAAAGGAGGATGAGTATATTGAAATCCCCATGATTATTAAAAAGTAGGATCATAGAAACGCGTGCTGGGGGTCCCATTTTACGTATGTTTTCCTTTTACATCTCATTGTCTTTTGTTCGTCCGTAAGTGCTGTGTTAATTTGATCTCCCAACTTTTGTGTTTTATTTTATCTCTAGTTGCCCAATCTGCAAGGTTTTTTGTTTTTCTATTAACATAGGTTTTCCTTATTTATTATTATTCTTCCATGACTTTTTATTTTAATCACGTTCTTGTTTTGCCCCGCCGCGACTAGTATCTTTGCGGGGCAAACCATTTTAATCATGTATTTTCGTAATAATAATTTTCAATTATGTATGTCTTTAATCAGAATAAGAATAAAGGTTTGTTGTTGTTGTTGTTGTTGTTGTTGTTGTTGCTGTTGCTGTTGCTGTTGCTGGCATAGTGCTTCGGGTTCAAAGGCCTAAGAGGGATCAGGTAACAAGGAGTCGCTTGACTTTTAGTAACGAGCATGCGTGATATTAGAGGTATGGAAGGCGACTCTGCTTGCATGATGGGTGATAACTTATCACCCATCATGCAATGTTGCAATATAGAGATACAGTGAGGAACAACCATCGTATAATTGTGGGGAAACTAAATTTTGTCCTTTTAAAAATGAAAATTAATTCTCATATTTATTTTACGCATTGAATCCTAAATCATGAAAATAAGACAGAATCTCACCTTCTGTCGACGTAGTTGTTCCAGGTTCGTTTTTATTGACACTTTCCAAAGCTGTTTTTCATCGATGTATACTACTTTCCCTTCTCGTTTCATGGCGTCAATGGTATAGACCAGCTGGAAATCAAGAAAAACCTGGAAAAAGAAAAAAGGAACACAAAAAAACTTTCTTAGCTGGAATAGGTCACATTTCTTTGCAATTTTTCCCTTTATTTGGTTCATTTGTAAACATGAAAAAAAAAAACAGGCCAGCTCACAATGGAGTTCTCTGTAGTTCAGAGGTAAAGCATCGGAGCACAAAATCCCAAGATAAAAGGTTCAATCCATTGGGGAAGAGTCTGATTTTTTTTGTAGTCCTATAGTCATATTGGACGACCAAGCTCAAAATACATCATATTCCCTGTCTATTAAAAAACATAACCACTCTCTCATGTTCAAGGAAAAAGAGAAAAGAGGGACCTTGAGCAACGCGAGCCGGCGAGAGTCCTGCAAGGGGTCTAGTGCCAGGTCCCCCGCAAACGTCTCCCCGACTCAAATCTTTCCGCGGGTGGAGAACGCGCGCTCCAGGCTATTCTGAAATATGGTATATACTTTCAAAATACGCTTTACTATTCTTTCACCTGTGCTCGGTCGCTGACGTTTTGGATGATGATTTCTTCTGGAACACTTTCAAGTTCTTTTTGGTACAGAATGAAACCATAACCTTGTCCACCATTGTTGTTAATTGGAAGCCCTTCCATAGACATAACATTCTCAGTTTCGACTGGTTCCTTGAGGTGAAGTAAACAAATTTCATCACATTGTTATCTTTCAAAACATACAGCGGGCAAAGGAGTTATTTCCGTTTGTAAAAGGAAACAAAAACAATTGCTACGACAATCGTATATTATCTATTAACACTTTATGAGATCCAAAACAGTTTTTGCATATTTTTGTACAGATTAATTACCGACAAATATCAAGGTGGCTAGAAACAGCTTACCAAGACACCCACCTACTAACTTTTCTAAGTAACTTACTTTTACAGTGGAACAATTCCACACGCTTACTGACCAAAGGATTGAAGTTTGAAATAGTGGGCGTGGTTTGGCAAGCGCAATTATTACGCTAATGTCATGGGGAAATCCTGTGAAACAGTTTTGGTTTTTTTTCTTTTTCTTTAATAATAATAATTTTAATTTACAGAACCCAATTACGATATACACTACTTGCAAAGCAGGTTACATAAATACTCTACTTACAAAACAGTACTTCCGTTACCTACAAAAACGGGTTACTTACACTGAAAATAGAGTACTTCATACATTCTTTGCAGAAAACACAATTATTTTCATCGTGGGCCACTTGCACTACTTACAATACTCTGCTCGCGTTAATTGCTGTACATACAGCGACGAAATACATTAGTTACAGTACAATATTCCAGTTACAATAAAATTGTAACACGTCCTACAATATGATCAAAAAGGTAAAGTTCTTAATGCCTAATAAAAATATTATTTACAGCTAATATAGAGTTATTGTTTCAAAAATGAATTGCATATGTGGGTCATATTATTTATATTTTGTGTATTTTTAGGGAGGTGGGGGAGTATGCTCATAGATTTACTTTGAGGAGAGAGAGGAGTACTTCTCAATAAACAGGGGCGTAGCCAGGATTTTTCAAAGGGGGGGTCACAGAGGCTACTCACCATTTACACCGCTGCTCTCCCGTGTGTATCAGCGGGCTCAGTCGTATTATCGCGGCATGAAGGCCCCTATCAATGGCTTTTACGGCCAAGGTATTGTCATGGCGTTTTCGCCACCTGAATATTGTTGGTTGTTTGCTCTAAAGAAGACCGACCAAGTAGCTTACTGATACACTCCTGAATGGAGATGGTCAGGCTATTTCACTTGCTTGTTTTTGGGGTTGGTCTAATCACAAGCTGACTTGTGAGCATGCCCAATGAGGTTTTGAGGGGAAGAAACAAAAATGAAAAGTTGTTGTTACTTACAAATAAGTGGATCAGTTCTCCAAGTTGCAGGAAATGCTGCATCTCTACATCCTCTGTAAAATAAAATGGTTGGAAACTTGTCAATTATGGGCTGTTACCAGCAGGGATTACGGTAACAGTTATAAAAAAATATGGGGCTGTCAACAACTTAAATGCACCATTCACAGCTGTGCACAATGGTTCATGCGTAACCAGTCTACCATTTCGCTTGAAGAAAACTTGCATCATGAAGTCAAACTGGAAGTGACAACGTCATGAAACAAACAATTTTTATTTCACCAGATGAGTGTTCACCTCAATGAATGACCACAAACTTGTCTACAGTCTCAGCTGAAATAGAAATATAGTGGATAACTGCCATAAATCCTCTGTAACAGAAATAACCTATTATGTTCTCACCATATGTTGCTCTTGTTTGGTGGTCACCCAGTGACACTAAAAAATGTAAAAGAGAAAAACAAGTTACAATTTTGAAAAGGAAAAAGAAAGTGAACCATTAATCTTTAAGGCACCTTTGTAGTCAACTAATACACTCTACGATACAAACAAGCTTCCTTTTATTGGAGAAAGAAAACTGTGAATGTAACAGGAAAGAGATAGGAAAAAAAAAAAGAAAAGAAAAATGAACCAAGTGCATCTTTCCATGCCTCTCGTTCTTGGCTGGCCAACCATTTCACTGAAAATTCAGCATTCCTTTTATTTCTGTTTTGATTCTGAGAGACCACTCAACTAATTATGCTTGACGTCTCACAAGTTACCTTGTTTGTCATCTTGTGGTGGATTGTACTTCTTAAAAACTTTTCTCAATGCATGAAACTTCTCAGTGATGTCACCAGCTTCTGATAGTGGAGCATCGTAATCTGGAGATGTACAGAAAACAATCAATTGACTGAGTGATACCAAAGTGTATGTACTTGCTGTTTATAAAATACAATACCTGTAAAACTTATTCTTCACCTCTGTAAAATCTTAACACGTTAGCTAAAATATGAAGTAAAATCTTAATATTGTTCAACCCAACTGAACAAAAATAATTTCAGTTCTAAGTATCCTAACAGTGATGGTAAAGTTTGAACTAAGAAGTGAAATAAAGAAAAAATGTTTTTTCATCTTGTCACAGCATTGCACAAAGAAATGGTTCCCATTTATTCAAATGGCACCTTCCTCATCTGTGATCCTTGCACTCCACAGGACAAGTGTCTGATATGAACCTAGTAATAGAGCTATCGCTCACCCTTGGGTTTCTGTTCCTCAGTGGTGGAGCCTCAGAGTGCAGTATCCAAAATCCTAAGGTTCAATTCCTCATGGGGGCTTTTTTTTCTATGTACCAAGTTTGTGACTAAAAAACATCTTTTTTCAAGTTCAATTCAAAACTCCACTGACGTGACAACAATGATTTACTGATAATTACTGTACACTAAAACTCACGCACCATAAGAAGTTACAGTTGGCTGATACTTGAACTGATTTTTGACAGCATTTGCACCATTCATAAAGCCAAAATTTGTTCCACCTTAGGGAAAGAGAGATTATATCAATCACAATATCATTAACCCTTTACTCCCACGATCTGATTGTTAATTCTCCCCTCAGGCTGCTACACATTTCCTTGTAAATTAGTTAAACACGAAGGCGCGCTATATAAGAAAGTCTTCCCAGGGAAGACCTAGGCTCATTTATCACTCACCATTGATATGTGTGGGTCAAATTTAAATGCTGGTAGATGAACAAAAGGAGCTAATGAGATATCTATTGTTTACTTCCACCAGCATGGTGGCATGAGGTAACGTGCGAACCACCTACTTTGATCTCAAATTTACCGCCACAAATAAAGACAGTTTCCATTGGAGAAAGGAAATACAAATCTCAAAAATTCTTGTATTGTGATGAAGACATAAAACAATTTTGAGGAATGCGCCCGCTGTTCACTGCTTTGGAGTAGCTGTAGCTCAAGCTGACTTGACTCTAAGAGTTCTACATCACACGACGGTTGATTGACAAATGGTCCAGTGGGACCTAAGGCTCCTTTTATAGCGCGCCTTCGTGTTTAAAGGCAGAAAATGGAGCTACGTTATTGGTGGGAACATGGCAACGAGAAAAACACGAATAAATTAGTGGAATGAAAAGCGTTCGTTGATACCTGTGGGATTTAGACTGCCGGTTTGAAAGATGAGCTTGTGTTCAAGAGTTTTACCGCTTTCCGTGCTACCTAAGTGTAAGGGAAGACCGCAGATTGCCATATGTTGCTTAGAATGATTAGGTAAATTAAAAATGTCTAGCGACTGGTTTCGATGTGTCCTTGTCATTCCTTTC